GTTCCCCTTTTCTTCATTAAAAAGTTCAATCGCTCCATATGGAAAAAATTTTGCAATGGTAAAAGGACCACATCATCTAGAGCGGAGCTTACCGGGGAACAACCGGAGTCAAGAATTGTAGAGAAGAACTTGTTATCCAACAAAGAACTCATGCTTCACAATGTTTTGATCGTGCCATCTCTGTCTTTTCTTTATAGATCCGAGCACTTTCATATGAATCAAGGCGGAGTTCATCGAGTTCATTCAATTGGAGCAACCTCTTCTCTTCGGCCAATTTTTCATCAAAATTTAATGCTTTGATAGCCCAATAGGCCTGATGTTCAAGTTTGACGAGAAGGTGACATGCTTTCCCAAATAAAAGCCGATATGGAGACATACCAATTAGTGTTTTGAAAGCAGTACGGTATGCCCATAACGCATCGTCCAATTTCTTGGACAAATTTTTTCTTGAAGCATTCACCGTCAACTCGAGAATTCTCTTTAACTCTCGATTAGAAATTTCGACTTGGCCACNATGACGATGGAAATGACCCCATAAAATCAATACCCCACACATCATAAATCTCCACCTCCAATAAAGAAGACAACGGCATTTCATTTCTGTTGGAGATATTACCAGTACGTTGACATCTATCGCACTTGGAGATAAGTGTGTGAGCATCCAAATAGGCGATGATAACTGCAAGTGTGGATGAGTCACCCAAATAGGCGTACCTCAAGTGAGGTGGAAGAGTCTCCAATTCAAGTGTGGGGGCTTGTTGAAAAGATGGAAGCGGTGGTGAAGAAGTCTTTTCCAAATCCTCATAATGTGGTGCCCTCATAAAAGTGTAGGAAAGTACAGCGTTCAAGTAATTTTCCATGCCCTCAACATTGGGGTCACCATCATTGACATGTGAAGAACGCACAAGGTATGTTTCAAGGGGATCCTCAAAATGCCCATAAAGAAAGTCAGCAACCATATGATCTATAACATCTACCCGAAAACAGGTATCTAGTTCCGACGGGTACTTCATGGCTTTTAAGATGTTGAACGTGACTTGTTCATCTTGCACCCTCAAAATGAGTTTCCCCTCTTACACATACTTGATGGCTTTTAAGATGTTGAACGGGACTTGTGCATCTAGCACCTTCAAAATGAGTTACCCCTCTTACACATCGATCAAAGCTCAACCGGTGGCAAGAAATGGTCGCCCCAAAATGATAGGGATATCATGATCCTCCTCCATGTCAACAATAATGAAGTCAGTTGGAAAGATGAACTTATCCCTTTCACCAACACATCCTCAACAACACCCCGAGGATATTTAATTGAACGATTAGCCAATTGTAAAGATACCGAGGTAGCCTTAGCTTCTCCCATTCCCAATTTTCTAAAAATGGACAAAGGCATTAAATTAATACTAACTCCAAGATCATACAAAGCTTTACTAAAATTTAAATCACCAATAGCACATGGAATAGTAAGACTTCCTGGATCTTTGATTTTTGGTGGTAATTTGTTTTGAAGAATGGCGCTACACTCTTCCGTCAACATCACCGTCTCATGCTCTTCGAGTTTCTTTTTGTTTGAAAGGATATCTTTCATGAACTTGGCATAACTCGACATTTGAGCTAGAACATTAGCAAACAGAATGTTAATGTTTAGCTTTTTGAACACCTCCAAAAACGTACCAAATTGAATATCCAATTTATGTTTTTGGAGCTTTTGTAGGAAGGGAATAGGGGGTACATAAGCTTTGACCGGTATTAGAGTCTTTGTTGTTGATGACTTTTGTTCATCAATCTTACTTTCTTCATCAACCTCTTTCGATTCTAGTACCACCTCATTTTCTTCAACTGGTACTTTGTTAGCTTAAGTCTTTAGGCATACTACCGTAGGTTCAAGCAATTGATTCCCACTCCTAGTAGTGATGGCTTGCACATTCTCTCTTGAATTTGTTTCAGTGTTTCTAGGCAAAGCCCCTTAAGGCCTCTCAGAGAGAAGTTTGGCAATCTAGCCTACTTGCCTTTCCAAATTTTTCAAAGAGGCATCATTGCGTTCTTGATATTGAAATTGATGGTTTGCCAATTTAGTAATAGCCTCTTCCCAACCTTCTTTCTTCTCTTGTGGCTTTGGTTTCAACACATTTTGGTTGTTCTCATAAGAGAAGTTTGGGTGATTATGCCAACCAGGGTTATACGTTTGAGAATAAAGATTGTACCCTTGGCGTTGAAAGTTTTGAGCGTATGCCACTTGCTCGGAGGATCCCGAACTACTGGCAATCAATGGACAACTCGAGCTCGGATGATTCGAGCCACACATATCAAAAACAGGTAGGGATTGTATCATATGAGCAGAATGAAAGCCAGAGGAGGATGTAGAAGTAGAAAGGCCCTCTACTTTTCGTGCTAGAGAGTCGATCTTGGCTAAAACTAGAGAGTATGCTTCACTCTCACGAGCTCCACTAACTCCCATTTTAACACGTCTATCCGGCCACATGGCACTTTGCACACTCATCACCTCAAATAACTCATATGGCTCTCGGATACTTTTGTTTTGGATTGATCCATTCGGCGATGAGTCCACATTTGAACGGTGAGAAGGAGTCAAACCGGCATAGAAGTGTTGGACTTGTGCTATAGTAATCCCATTATTTGGGCACTTTCTTAGCATGTCCTTAAACCTCTCCCAAGCCTCATGAAAGGTTTCCGAGTCAAGTTGTTGAAATGTGGTGTTTGAGCTTAGCTACACGAATAGGTGGAATGAACTTGGTTGTGAATTTTTATACCAACTCGTGGTATTCCCCGACGGTAGAGTGTCAAGCCACTCTCTTGCCTTATCTTTTAGGGTATGCAAGAATAAACTCATCCGGACAGTTTCCTCACTCACACCCTCATAAGTGAAATTGCTAACAATTTCCATGAATCGTACAATGTGAGCATGTGGGCTTTCATCTATTCTCCCATAAAATGATATGGTGTTGGAGAATAGATTAATAACATTCGGCCTAAGTTGGAAATTTGGATGTCCATAGGACGGATAGATGATTCCCGATTGATTTTCCACCACGGGGCGGTTCAAGAAATCCTTAAACAACATGTCTTCCTCATTTAATACGGAATTTTGAATCCGTCTCGCTTGATTATCGAAACCAGGCAGAATACCATCCCTAGGAGCATGTTCGGGTTGAATGAGCAAGGTCAACATGAACTCCTTGTCGATCCATCTCACGTTGTTGTCTTCTCAACTCGTTTTGTTCCCTTAACCTCTTTCGAAAAGTCTCTTCAATTTCCGAATCAAATTCGAGAAGATCGAAACTTCGCGAACGATTCATATACAATCGACGAGTTTAGGAAATTGACAATCATGAAGACAACCTTACAATTGGACTAAATGAATAAAGTAAAACCAACAAATAAAGTAGTTAAAGTGAATGACAATAAGACTAGTAATTAGATCAAAACACTCCCGGCAACGACGCCAAAAACTTATCCTCTAAAAATATGCCGCAAGCGTACGGGTCGCGATCAAGTAGTAAAATGGACCTTTTTAAGTCTGAATCAATCCCACGAAGAGTGTTATCTTAATTACAAGAGTATTGATTCGAATTAATGAAATTGACACACACATTTAAAAACTTGATTTTTAAATTAAAAAGACACGATTTAGATTTGAAGATTGCAATGATACTTAAAAAGTGGTAAGATTTAGATTTAAACGAGGTTGGAATTTATGATTTCGCTTAACCTTTATTTCATTAATATCAATCCAATAATGCGTCGATACAAATTACCAAAATACAAAGTTAGACCCGATTTTTCAATTTTAGTCAATAACTTCTCTCGAGTGATATTAACCCTAATTGATTAAGTTATACATCATATCTCTATATTGATAAAAACTTAACCAATTGCATTAAATTTTTGTGAGAATAACTCAAAGGGTTACCTAGGGTAGGTGTATATATATATATCACCTAAACGCGCATAGTATACTATACAAACCTAGGGTATTAATTATTTTGGTCTAGTTAGTGCAACAATTTCTCAGTATATCTCTATATCACTTAAACGCGCAATAGATATATTAATGCAAATCTAGGGTATTAATCATTTCGGTCTAGTTAGTGCAACAATTTCTCAATAATTGCCCAAACCACCTAACCACATCATCTATTGGCCAAATAAATGAGGTACAATTAAATACAATAATTAATACACTATGATTTTGATAACAAATGCATCATTCAACATATGATATGATATTAATGAAATTTTGATTAAGTTACTACATAAATTCCAACACAAACTACTTAGCTCATCATATATTAATATAATAACAAATGAGATGTTTATATAATACATTCCAAACATTGGAAAATAATGGAAGAAAAACAAAGGTTTAGATACAACTCTTTTAGTGAGACTTTGAATTTCTCCAATGGTTTCTCCAAGTTCTTGATGTATTCCCCTTGTTCTCTTTGATTAACTCTCCAAAAATTACCAAGAACAACAAGATAAAAAACAAGAGAAAAAGAAAGCAAAAAGAAAATAAATAAAAAACAAAGAAGAAGAGAACCTTCCTGCACGTTTTTTTTTTTGCCCAAGAATATATATAGAAACTTTAATTGTAAGATGATTGAAATATTTTGTAATTGTCTTGTACGTTAATAGTTGGGCATTAGATATAGATTCATACATCATGCTTCCTAGATATAGATTAATACACTGTTGAATTTTAGATTTACGTTGATTTTAGGGGGCCTAATTTATGGAGTTCGCCTCGAGCCCCAAAAATCACAGGGCCGGCCCTACCCCCAACACGTTCTCAAGGTTTTCGAACAAAACCAGGGATTGATCCCACATGAAATTTGAACTGACACATTGTGAGTCAAATATTATAAATAGAGAGGTTAGATAAATTTTATGGACAGTAAATCATAAATGGTAGATCTCTATGAGAAGGTACAGTCCACCTCTAACTCAAATAGTTGGTCTCAAAGGGAAAAAATTGTGTTTACCTGTAACTTTGGCCGCAGAGCCTCAAGTGGTCCTTTCGGCTTCTCTACACCTTGCTGCAATCATATAACAACGATAAATCTGAGGTATATGAATACTAGTATAAACTTCAAGTATGCACACAAAATGGATAAGGTTCAAAGTAGAACTTTCCCCAGGGCCCAATCAGCAGAATCAAAATAGGCTCGTTCATGATCCTAACATCAGAGGTAGAGGTTTAAGAAAGGGTCCTTCAAGTTTTCATAATTGTCACTACCTTAAGAATCCAAGAAAGGTATGATACTACCTTTGAAATTAGTGGTGGTTTCTTTGGCATTATTCCTCCATATTTCTTCTTAATAGCTTCCTCCTGTAAGAAAAATGTGTCTAGTTACACAATGGCACATATGACTAGAAAAAATAGCACAAGAAAAGACAGGATTGGAACACGACATCCTGTTGAGTTGACGGCATGGGCTTGCTAGACTCCATAACATCCGTTTGTGCATTGACTTCCTCAGTGCCCGACATATTTTTCTTAGAACCACTTTAATCAACAAAATCTGCATATAAATCTTTAATTTCAATAGTTGTTTCACTCCAAAACTTATTTTTAACAAAAAGAAATCTTCGCAAGAAAACCGGGTTAAGAAAGGGTTTATAAAGTCCATTCCATTGGGATCTTAATCCTAAGAAAGGCTCAGCGGCTCAATTAGGCTTCGGAGCTGGAGAATATAAAGTTCATAGCTTGGGCAGAACAATTTCACTTGCTGCTCGCGCTGGAAGCATATAAAGATATAACATCTAGACAACTACGGCAAGAAAAAGTTGACTACTAGAGAAATTGTTCCACATCCATAGCCAAGTCGTCACTTCAATGTTCAATTAGGGCCTCTTCCATGAAATTAAGGGAAAATAACAAAATTACTTCACTTTCCAAATAATAGATTTGTCACAAAAGTACTGTTTTGCACCATGTTTCTGGAAAGGGTACCGTGGAACTGGTGAAGAAGAAGGAACTTCTTTGCAAGAAAATGCAACTTGCTCAATGGCACATAACAACTTTTTCGAACCTGCACTTAATCTCTACACACATATAACCTATTTTAGTATTCTAATAAATTTAGCTTCCTTTTACTCTATTCCACATAGTCCATTTTCTTTATTATTCATTATGTTGTGTTCTCATTAATCTTTGAAGATTTAAAAATTTGAGTCTGCCAGTTATGCAACTCAAAAGTCGATGTTTCGGAGACATGAACAAAAAAGATTGGGGATCAACAATAGAAACACAAACAAGATAATTTGAAGGACTCAAATCTGATTGGAGAAGATTACAACAGCTATG